TCTCCAGACACATGATCATATCAGATGTCATGTTTTCGGCCAGATCCCTACATATATAGATCTGAGTACCGTCTGCGAGTGACACAAGCTTGGCCCTCTCAGGGTAGAGGTTGAGTTCATTGAAAAAGATAGAAAATAATAAACAGAAGTGATCCACCCTGATAAACCCCAGTGCTATTCGGGAGTGCCCGCTACATAACTTTGAGGTATTCATGTATGTATGTACCCACGAGCCGCTGGGGGGGGGCATAAAGTTGCCCCCCCCCCACCTTTACGTGTTGTGGAATATCTCCGAAGCCTGATGAGCTAACAATGTGAAACTTTACATAGCTTCAGATACATAGGTACCTACTATGAACGTCAAACCCCTTGAGACCCCACTTTTTTGCGATAATTTTTAAATGCGTCAAATTTCGTTGACAATATTATGGCAATGTATGTTTCAGAACCTGCCGAAACTTTTATTACTAAGGTATTTTGACGCCAAACGATTATGGAAGGTACTTCTCATTCACTCGTAATGCTAAGGTCAATTCAGGCCCGGGCAGAGGCTTGCGCTCGGCCACACTCGAGCCCCGCCACCAGCGCCATCTGCCCTAAATGCAATCTACCAGCGCCCGCTACCGCTACCAACTACCGCCCACCATCAAGCCTGAATGGAGCGAGAGACGTGAGTGACCGGTCGCCGGGCAAGGAGCGCCGGAGGGGTAGGGCGGAGCTTAGCGCTGACGTCATTACGTGGCTCCGCCTCATGAGCGCGTAGCCTCTACCCAAACAGCAGATTCGTTCCGTGAAATTTAACATTACGAGTGAATGAGAAGTACCTTTCATAATCGTTTGGCGTCAAAATACCTTAGTAATAAAAGTTTCGGCAGGCTCTGAAACACACATTGCCAGAATATTGTCAACGAGAGTTGACGCATTTAAAAATTATCGCAAAAAAGTGGGGTCTCAAGGGGTTTGACGTCCATAGTAGGCAATGTTTGAAGAAAGTTTGGTGGTTGTAGCACATAAGATTGTGTTTTTACTGCCATGTAAATGACGTGGATATCTGAAAAACCATGCTATGGAAGAATCCGAAATAAATGATGATGATGATGATGATGAAGATGACGTCACAGTGACGTTATAAAGTTTTGTCGTTTTCCGATATGAACCGTTTCTGGTCACCAAAACATCTAAAACATCTAAGCATGCACTTCCAACTAGTTCCTGATCAATAATTGGTCCTTTATTTTCGGTCTCATATGTCAGATATATCGTGAGGTCAGGTCACCAAAAACGAAATATAGAAAAGGGCATGTGCGACACATGTTTTATGGATCATTTTCTGATGTCGCTGAGCGTGAAACTCAACTGTAAATGAACCAGACAGCACCTGCTGTCATCCTAAAACATCTAAGCACACTTCCAACTAGTTCCTGACCAATAATCGGTCCTTTATATTCGGTCTCGTATGTCAGATATATCGTGAGGAAACTGAGAGTCGCAAATCTATCATTTGACTTCTGACGTCACTTCACTGTGACGTCATTTCAAATAGGATCGACACCAAATTTAGACACAACCTCGGCTAGGTATTCAGGAAGATGTGTGCATTGTTTCGCTTCTCTATGTCTTCGCGTTGCGAAGATATCGTCGCAGAAGTAAAGAGGGTGGCAACTATGTATGCCCCCCCCCCCGCGGCCGGCGGGTGGCGCAGAGGCCCAGCGCAGCGGCCGCCGGGCTAAACTTTGGCGTCTAAATTGTCCCGTCACCCGGAATTGCGCTATCGGACGGTAAGGGTCGGGTCTAGTTACGCAACAAGCTCTGCTTAGCGTGGGCATCGGCTCTGTCAATCCGTTTATTCAAATATTCGAGCTAAATTAAAAAAAAAACAGTGATTTTAAACGTCGTAGAGCAGCGTTCTCTAAAAGTTTCGTGCGTGAGATAACCTTGGACTATAATCTAAAAAGACCAGAATCGAAATTTTCCCCCTCATCCATGACCTTGCATTTAGAATCTGTCAGCACAGACAGCGCAGTTTCAGGGAAGTGATTCCTTCCTTCTGTAACAATGTTGTGCAGGCATGCATACAAGGATATGCATTAGCGAAATATGAGCTCAGTTGGTTGTGAAGTATACTTTCGATGATTTTTGAGATTGCAGGTAAAGCCATGACCGGACGCCAGTTCGCTGGATCCGTGGTACTCCCACCTTTCGTTAGTAGCACTACGATACCGTGCTCCCTGAGTCTGGTACAAGCACGGTAATAAGACTGAAGTTAATAATGTAGCTAAGCATGTGCATGCGGTAGACCAAAACATTTCTGACAGAAAGCTGAACTAAGCCTAGAGCTATCGACACAGAAGACGAACTTTTCATAGTGTCCAGAATAATGCACAGGTCATTACAGGGAATCGGTCTGACTTTGAGTTTAAACTCACAAGATGTCACGCGCGGTAAAGGAATGGACCATGGGTTGACCGGCTCGATCACAATCACAGACGCAGCTGTGCTTAGAGCAACATTCACAAAATACTTATTGCTGGCATCAGCTGACACGTTCGGTACAGAGTTGGTCGCCTTCTTGCTGTCTATTACCGGCGCCAGCACCTGCAGTACGCCCGCCCCGGTCCGGCCTCGGCGAGCTGCCTAGTGCAGGTGCTCCCGGGTGTCCCGAGTCGACGGACGGCCGCCCGGCGCCGGCGCCGGCGACGACAGCCTGGTAGGTGGCGCTGTTCGGCTCCGGCCGTGAGTGCGGCGCGCCGGAGTTCTATAGCCTTGGGCGCGCCTCTCCGCCAGCAGGGCACGGGTGGCATCCGTCACCCTCACGGCGGAGTGCCGAGGGCGCCGGACTCTCTTCAGTGGTACGACCGTGTCGAGAAGCAATGTGAAAATCCGTGCGAATTCGTTCCATTTATCGGTAGGTCCTCTCATGGCGAACACCCTCCCCCAGTCTGCATTCGCCGGCGTGATGTTGAATTCGGTCGAATCGACTCGGTGGATTCGCCGTGTCTCGACGGTCAGTGGTTTCACTTTTGTCTCGGGGCCGAGTCGAACTAATGCTCTCCCAGCCAAAATACCCATATGGGCCTCACATGGGCAGTTGATGGGTATGGTGGGCTAGGTGGGCCATGGGCAAATATGTGGGCTGTATGTGGGCCCCACATGGGCTGCCCATGTATTTTTTTGACATACATAGTGCTTGGAAATGGGATTGATTGCACCATGTAGGAGGGCATACCCAGGGATTTTGGTGAACATATGTCTTTGCAGGCAGTCACGCGGTGTTCCTCTATGGTGGGGTAAATATGGGCACTGCGTGGGCAGCCCATGTAGTGGGGTTTAGGTGGGCTGGATGTGGGCAGCCATATGGGGCCCATGTGGGCCAGCCCAGGTGGGTCCCACCATTTTCCCAGGGACAAATTTATGTGGGTCCCACCAAGTGGCCCACCTTGGCCCCATGTGGGGCCAAGGTGGCGATGGTGTCCGGTCGGCTGGTGATGATGACGTCAATGAGTGTTCCCGCCGGCCTGTAAGTGGGGCTGACTGCATTGCACGGGTGAAGTCCGTGGGACTGAATGAGCTGCCGCATTTGTGACTATGTAGAAGCATTCTCCCCCACGCCAGTACGCAGCAAACATGCGTTCAGATCACCAGTCACCTGCAAGAATCAAGGCCAGTCCAGACCCGACCCGGATAGGACATCATCATACGCATTATCTCCAAAGAGATAAAAATGTTGGTGGTTTCACTGAAGCCCAAATAAAAAACAAAATTGTCTAAAAAAGGGTGGCTCTTTGCAAAGTCGTGCCAGGTGCCTCAGAGACAACCTAATGGACTTTTCTGTTTCTGAGTGCCGCGCCATGCGTCTCAGATGGTTGACGACCATCGTGAGGGCGTAGTCCTCGACGACTAACGACAGCCTTCAGCTCATCAAGGGTCTTGAGTTATCTCCGCGATTTCTTGAGCTGCTTGGGGTCACAAGCTCAAGTCCAGGCAGAAAAAAGCTCCGGACTGCATGGTGACCAGGGATACTGGGCCCTTGCCGGGCCTTAAAAGATGCATTGAGTTTGAAAATTCTTCAAAAATCAACTCAACATCCACTTTCGCAATGCTTCAGGAAACCTGGGAACGTCTTTCAGGAATGTGTAGACAATTTTGCACAAGAAACTGAACTGGAAACTATATCACCCGATCCTAACGACCGTCCTCTCCGCTGACAGCATGGTGTCGATGCTGGAAGCGTGCATCTTCTGGCTCAGTCAAGCGGAAGAATTTGGTTCGAACGGGTGATCTGGAGCGACGAGAAGTGGGTTGTGCTAAACAATCACCCTACAGGAAGAATACAGTCTCCCGGTAGCCTAATAATCCACAGGAGCTGATTCATACAAAAAGGCGCCCGGAGCAAAGGCCATGGTCGAGCGGAGAAGCGAGATCTCTTCGAGCACCTCCTGTAGACAAACGAAGTGTCACAACTGACCTGCGTGTGTATAATGTCAAATGTCCACCATTTCTCTTTCTAACGGTATGCTGTTTATGTGTTAAAATATATATTAGGTGCTTTTCCTGGGGGCTAACTTTATGTCATTCATTATTGATCACCCTGTATATTCACTAAAAGTCAAATGTTTGAAACGAAAAACTATTTATGGATTTTAGCGGAAGTTTTACATTTATACCTCCAAACTCCTTAAATATATAATCACTGAAGCTGCACAGGGGCAAGATTTCCTATGGGCCCACCTACCCTCCAGAAATCTCAGTTATTAAAAAAACAAAGCTTTGATCCGGAACAGTCTGATATGCTGCTATTCTCATCCTTCGTCAATATTCCTGACTTCCGCTCTTATCCCCCGACGTTACCTCTGAGCAATTACTCTCATTCTCCGCCAGTGGCTCTGAGCATATGATCTCATCTATCGACAGTAGCTCTGAGCACAGCAATCTCACCCCTCGCCAGCATCTCTGTGTATCCGCTCTCCCACTCGCCAGTTCGCGGCGCTCTCCCGAGATGTCGCGCCGGCCCGGCCGCCGCGCCGGGCGCACCTCTGCGGCTCTCGCGCTCACTCGGCTGTGGCCGCCCAGCCGGCGAGGTGCGCGCCGGGTTCCTGCCGCGGCCTCCACCATGGCGGCGCCGCGGCGCATCCAGTTCGAGGAGATCCTGCGGCTGGCCGGCGACGGCGGACTCTGGCAGGTGCTGGTGTTCGTCTGGTCCGTCATCGGCGGCCTGATGACGGGCGCGCACAACGTCAGCAGCGCCTTCGTCGGCGGCGAGCCGGAGCACCGCTGCGCGCTGCCCGGAGAGCTGGCCAACGAGACTGCCAGCGAGGAGCAGCTGCACCTCTGGCTGCCGTACAACAACGCCACCGGCCGGCCGGCCTCCTGTGAGCGCTGGGACGCGGCCGGAGGCAACCGCACGTTGGGCTGCGACGCCGGCTGGGTGTACAGCCGGGAGCGTTTCCACTCGACCATTGTCAGTGAGTGGGACCTGGTCTGCGGCCGCCGCTGGATGATGTCCACCGTCCAGGCCAGCTACATGTTCGGCATCTTCTGCGGCGCCATGATCAGCGGCGTGCTCTCAGACCAGTTCGGACGGAGGCGCGCAGTCTGCTGCAGTGGCGTCCTGTTCGTCATCTCCAGCCTAGCCACGGCCGGGGCTGGCAGCTACGCCGCCTTCGTTACACTGCGCTTCATCACGGCCATGGCGGGATCCGGCGTATTCGGATGCATGTTCATCCTGACGATGGAGGTCATGGGGCCACGCTGGCGAGCTTTGGTCGGACTCGTCTACCAGATCCCGTTCTCTTTTGGGTTCATGTCGCTGTCGGCTGCCGCCTATCTGGTGCGTGACTGGCGTTACTTGCAGTTGGTCATATCGGCACCCTCTGTGCTCATGCTCGGCTTCTGGTGCGTGCTTCCCGAGTCGCCGCGCTGGCTCATCATGCAGGACAGGCTGCCGGAGGCGCTTGATGTGCTGCGTGCTGCCGCACGCCGCAACAAGCGCACGCTGCCCTCGGACGAAGAGATGATGAGGATGATGGCCGAGTTCCGCGCCGACGAGGTGAAGGAGTCTGCAGGAGATGACGAGTCCGGCGATCGCTCGGCGCTCCAGAGCTGCGCCAACGGTGTCTGCGAAATGTTCCGATTGGTGCGTACCCCACGTATGCGGCGAATCAGTTTGGCCAGCTTCTACAACTGGCTGGTGGTGTCGATGATCTACTACGGCGTCACGTTCAACTCTGCCGACCTGAGCAGTAGCCCGTACCTGGCCATCTTCCTAGCCGGCCTGGTGGAGATTCCGGCAGTCCTGATTTCTGTTCCACTCATCAACCGCATCGGTCGCCGCCCCAGTATGGTGGTCACGCACCTGCTGACGGGCGCCGCCATTCTCTGCATCATGGCCGTGCCGCGCTGGCTGGCCTGGCCCAAACTCGTGCTGGGAATGCTGGGCAAGTTCGCCGCCTCTGCTGCGTTCGGCATCATCTACCTGTACACGGCGGAATACTTCCCCACCACTCTTCGCAACGCCGGCTTCGGGTCTTCCAGCACGTGCGCGCGAATCGGTTCGATGGCGGCGCCGTACGTGGTGGACCTGCTGTCGCCAGTGCACTGGACCATCCCCAGCTGCGTGTTCGGCCTGGCGGGCGTGACGGCCGCGCTGGTGGCGCTGCTGCTGCCGGAGACCAACGGACGCCGGCTGCCGGAGACGGTGGCCGACATCGAGCGCGGAGTCTGGGAGCGCGTGACGCCTGCCGCAAACGGAGAGATGGAGACTGTGAAACTGTGATCGCGTAGACGGCTGGAGTCGGTGGATACACAGGACGTGAATACGACTCTGTTGGTGACATCCCTCGAGTTGCCCCAGATGGTGTCATTGCCAGCAGGTGACTGGCATTCACAAATTCAGATAGAGTTACTAACGAACTCACTTTCTGAACCTTGGACCTCGAGATGTCCTTGGATGTCTGGGGACTCGAGAATCCAGCCGAAGGCACTGGAGAGTAGAGAATGTGTCGCGTGGACAGGCCAGTCGGAAATGAGGCGTCTCTGCAGCTTGTTGGATGCTAACTAGCGCTTCATCCGTGCTCCAAGCTATCGCGACACTTGTCTGCTGGAACCAAGGACACGGACACTGTCAGATTGTCGTAGTACTTAGCGGGGCTCACTCCTGAATTAATGAATTGTCTCTTTCCTGAATGCGGTTAAATGCTTACATATTCAGTTCACCTACGTAAGAAGATGGGGCGAGTTTTTTTTATAATACTGTCGGGGAGTTTTACTGGTCATGTGTGATGCCCGACTCCAACACACTATTAGACGGAACACCGAATGTCCGCATTCAGATCTCTGTCAATGGGGCCTATCATTTCCGCTACTGATAGGGAGAAGCTATATTAAATACTCGCCCTCCAACTCTTGAAGAGTGCGTTCCAAGGATGATCTGTAGTTGGAGAAGGCTTGACGTGCAGCTCACATTCTAAACAGGGTATGAAGTAATGGAAATAACTGACATGAATGCATGCATGCCATTATGATATGTTAGTTGTTGAGTGCAGCTGAGGTGTTAACTTTTTAAGAAATAAAGTGGCTAGTGGCAAAGAAAGCGTTTGAACCTGGTTATTACGAGCGAGCAAAGCGAGGTCTTTTCAATGTAACGGAAAAATCGCAGTAACTATGAGCGACCCGACCCGGCCCGGCCCGGCCTGTAACGCTCTTGAGAGGCTCAGTAACCGCTGGACCGATTGACGTGCTGTCTTTTTTGTTGGGTAGCCCCATTCCTTTTACCCCGTGGTCGACTATTCTTGATGCATTTAGGTGACCGCCGTGGCACGTGCCACGTGAAAAGCCAAGAGTGGGGGTGTTCAAGCAGTTCTACTGAAATAGCGCTTTTGGGAGGCTTTAGGTATATCCCGGCAGTTGCTGGGGTATTTCGCCACCCACCGCTTGCTGGGGGGGGGGGGGGCGTTAAACGCCCCAGCCGATAACTCGAGAACCAATAGGCGCAGCGAAACGCACGAGGCGGCAAACGAAAGAACGCGACGACACGCTTCAGATGAGTACTTAAAAATTGAATTTTGAGGTCACAGGTCGGGTCAAGGCCAGGTCAAACACCTGAAATCGGGCTTTCAGTAGCATGGACTTCAGGACTTCGCAATGGGCGCCTCTCGTCATAAACTCTGTCAAAACGGTGCACAATCCATCATATAAGGCCTACAAGAGTGTCAGATCCATGTAGGGGTCAGTCAAGCATAGGTCAGGGTCAAGGTCAGGTCAACCGGGTAGGCACATATCCCCGAAAATCAAAATTGATATTCGCAGCCTGTGACACATGTTTTATAGGTAATTTGGGGCGTAGAACACGATGGTGACATTCATTTTATCATATGTGTACGTGTTTGGCTCAAAAAGTTCAATTTAAGAAATGCATGTATCATGGTCGTGAAGTAGTCACGAGAAATTGCCAAGATTCAGTTCAAGATTATGGAAAATGCGGAACGATAATCGATAATCGAAGATAGCCATTTGATTGATCATGGTATTGGCAGTCTAATGGCGTTTACGGCATGTCTGTATGTCTGTTCTGTGATTTTATATGATTTTTTGAACATATGCCGTTTTTGGTCGAAAACTCAGAAATCATGACGTCACTAAAACCTCGATATCTCAAAATTTTTCCGACCGATTTTTTTGAAACTTTGTCACAATACACTTCAATCAATTCCCTACAGGTACCCAAAATGCCGTTTTTATGCTATGGCCCGGCGAAAAAAGTGGGGGCGTTTAACGCCCCCCCCCCCCCCCAGCAACTCGCGGGATATCTCGGTAACTGCTTGGGAGATGGACTTGCGGTAATTTTTACAGGGTAGTTGCATTCCTTCTACCAAATATCGGATACTCTCGATGCATGTGGGGCACCCCCAGTGCACGTGCAAAATGCAACAATACGAGGTGTCAAATTTGTTCGCATTACGAGTACAACTACTCTGAAATTACTGGGGCGATTTCGCTGAAACTTGGTACGGAGTTATTGGCCAAAAACCTTTGGTGACCTTTGATGACATCACATGACCTCACAGCTGCCCAACAGCAAAACAGACCTCAAGGTAGTGAAGGTTGATCGTATATGAAGTCATGTATGGTATATGGGGCCATTCCGACCCGTTTTAGTGGTAAAAACAGGGAGTTGATTTTTCCCCCATTGACTTATACCTACCTACCTACAGGTAGGCACCCACTAGGCAATATATTCCCATGCGTTAGGCTTACGGTTATAGGTTGCTAACTGCACGTGCGCACTTGCAGGGGGCTTTTCGTGATCTCGAGAACGCCTGGGTCGATTGCGCTCAAATTTGGTAAGCAATAAGCATTTAGGGACCGGCTGGTAGAGTGCCGTGCAAAGGTCACTTTGGACCCAGTTTGCACGTGCGCAAGTGCAGGGTGCCGCTTCCAAATCTCTGGGATGGCTGAGTCGATTGCCTTAAAATTTGGGGCACCGCTAGTGGCCGGTTAGTAGGGTGCAATACAAAAGTCAGTTGCAAGTACTCCCTCGCCCTTCCGCATGTGCACGTCTCTCTCTCTCTCTCTCTCTCTCTCTCTCTCTCTCTCTCTCTCTCTCTCTCTCTCTCTCTCTCTCTCTCTCTCTCTCTCTCTCTCTCTCTCTCTCTCTCTCTCTCTCTCTCTCTCTCTCTCTCTCTCTCTCTCTCTCTCTCTCTCTCTCTTTCTCTCTCTCTCTCCCTCGCTCGCTCGTTCTTCTCCCGAAAGGCGTTTTACTGGTAAGTACATATACATTTCTAACCCCTACACCATAAGGGGGTCGAATGGCCCCGCCCTTCGGTTTTCATAAATAGCTCGCGTAAAAAGCGGCCAATTGCGACGAAACTTGCAGTACCCTCGAGGCAATCAGTATTACACATACCCTAAAAACTTCATGGCCCTGACCTGACCCAAATGACTTTTGACCTGTGACCCATTTCTCGAGACCATGTTTGGCCGGAATCGCGATTCGGCGTAAGTTGGCTCACATTAGCCGTGCGATATGCAGTCTTTTTGTGGTTTTAAATATTCAAACATGTGAAATGATGTTCCCCATGCAGTATAGTGAGTGTCAAGGTCACGTGAACGTCAGGTCAGGTCACTCTCACCTTAGATAACTCCAGTTTACATTTTCGAGTTTTACTTGTTTCTAGGCTAGTTTTTGGAGCTGATTTCGGATTTAGCAGCCATTAGCTAACAGCAGGAGCAGCAGCAACCATTAGCAACCATAGCTAACAATGATTTCTCATTACATCCTACAGAGGTATCCGGCATCTGCTGTCGCTCTGACACGGTGACAATGTTACGAAAAAGTGATTGTAGGTCGAGTCATTCAAAGTGACCTGGTGACCTGACCTTGAAAGGTAGGAAATTCAAACTTGCACATCAAGTGTGAAATTGATGTGGGAATAGTCATGTTAAATTTCGCGGTGTACGCGCTATGATTTTTTCCGCTTTTCATAAAAACCCTCAGGGTGGCTGATATCCGCCCCCCCCCCCCGTCGGTGTTAGGGTTAAGGCAATGTAATTAGTGACGAAGATGAGCAACTTGTCGGCGTTTTACTTGATGACCATATGATCCATACCTGTTTCGGAAATGTGCATATGGACAAGTATTTATGCTCTATTGAGACTATTTTGTTTAGCATGCTTGCATTTCATGATTTTCTGTGTTATGATTTTGTTTTTATGCTCAATATCATGCAACCGTATCTCGCATGCCGTTTCAGAAAACAAGTGAATACAAATATACTATCAGGAACTGCGTTTCGGAGAATGCCGGTAAAAGTGTTAAGTGAATCCCAATGAAAGCAGCATGACACCAAAATACCGATGTATCGCAAAATGGAAAATATCGAAGCAGCATGCACCGTCCGGTAGATCGTTTTACTTCGGAACACCTCAATCAAAGCAACTGCTAAAACCAGTATAACGCCTTTTGGGGCGACTAACGGAGCGAGCGAGAGGGTGGGCCTTGCACGTGCGAAATTGTGAAGGGGTACCTCCAACTGACTTGTGTACGGCACCCTACTAACCGGTCTCTAGCGATGTGCCAAATTTGGGCACAATCGGCCCAGCCGTTCTCGAGATCTGGAAGCGGCACCCTGCACGTGCGCACGTGCAAAATGGGTCCCAACTGACTTGTGCATGGCACCCTACTAACCGGTCCCTAACTGTGTACCAAATTTGAGCGCCATCGGTCCAGCCGTTCTCGAGATCTGGAAACGACCCCTGCACGTGCGCACGTGCAGCAGCACCCCAACTCTGGCACATGGATATGCAGTGCCTAGTGGATGCCTACCTACATGCCAACTTTCAGCGCAATCGGTCAAGTAGTTACCGAAATATTGCAACAATTACAAAACGGAAACCTCTTCGTTTTGCACGTGGCACGTGCATAAGGGGTCACCCACATGCATCAGGAATAGTCCAATACTTGGTAGAAGGAATGAAGCTACCCTACAAAAATTACCGCGTGTAAATCGGTCAAGTGGTTGCTGAGATATAAGCGTCGCAGAATCGTGACCACGGCCGGCCGGCCGGCCGGCCGCTCATACTCAGAAATTTCCGTTAATCTAAGGAAAGACTACGCTCGCTTCGCTCGCTCCGTAACTAACCAGTACCAGTATAACGCCTTTTGTGGCGACTAACGGAGCGAGCGAGAGGGTGTGCCTTGCACGTGCGAAATTGCGAGGGGGTACCTCCAACTGACTTGTGCACGGCACCTTACTAACCGGTCTCTAGCGACGTGCCAAATTTGAGCACAATCGGCCCAGCCGTTCTCGAGATCTGGAAGCGGCACCCTGCACGTGCGCACGTGCAAAATGGGTCCCAACTGACTTGTGCACGGCACCCTACTAACTGCTCCGTAACCGTGTACCAAATTTGAGCGCAATCGGTCCAGCCGTTCTCGAGATCTGGAAACGACCCCTGCACGTGCGCACGTGCAGCAGCACCCCAACTCTGGCACATGGATATGCATTGCCTAGTGGGTGCCTACCGACATGCCAACTCTCAGCGCAATCGGCCCAGTAGTTACCGAGATATTGCAACAATTACAAAAGTGACACCTCTTCGTTTCGCACGTGGCACGTGCATAAGGGGTCACCCACATGCATCGGGAATAGTGCAATACTTGGTAGAAGGAATGGAGCTACCCTACAAAAATTACCGCATGTAAATCGGTCAAGTGGTTGCTGAGATATAAGCCTCGCAAAAGCGTGACCACGGCCGGCCGGCCGGCCGGCCGGCCGGCCGCTCATACTCAGAAATTTCCGTTAATCTAAGGAAAGACTACGCTCGCTTCGCTCGCTCCGTAATAACGCCTTTTGGGGCGACTAACGGAGCGAGCGAGAGGGTGGGCCTTGCACGTGCGAAATTGCGAGGGGGTACCTCCAACTGACTTGTGCACGGCACCCTACTAAACGGTCTCTAGTGATGTGCCAAATTTGAGCACAATCGGCCCAGCCGTTCTCGAGATCTGGGACCGATTCGCGTTGGCGCACTAAGGCCCTAGTGACACTTGATTTTAAGCGTCACTATGCGATTTCGGTTCGCGCTGAGCCACTAGCCGATTGGTGTATAATACCGCTTAGTGTCACTACATTCAAGTGTCACTTGGCCGCCTAGTCTTACTAGCTTCCTAGTGCGCCATCTCGAATCGGCCCCTGCTGGAAGCGGCACCCTGCACGTGCACGCACGTGCAAAATGGGTCCCAACTGACTTTTGCACGGCACCCTACTAACCAGTAACCGGTCCCTAACCATGTGCCAAATTTCAGCGCCATCGGTCCAGCCGTTCTCGAGATCTGGAATCGACCCCTGCACGTGCGCACGTGCAGCAGCACCCCACCTCTGGCACATGGATATGCATTGCCTAGTGGGTGCCTACCTACATGCCAACTTTCAGCGCAATCGGCCAAGCAGTTACCGAGATATTGCAACAATTACAAAAGTGACACCTCTTCGTTTTGCACGTGGCACGTGCATAAGGGGTAACCCACATGCATCGGGAATAGTCCAATACTTGGTAGAAGGAATGAAGCTACCCTACAAAAATTACCGCATGTATGATGTAAATCGGTCAAGTGGTTGCTGAGATATACCTAAGCGTCGCAGAATCGTGACCACGGCCGGCCGGCCGGGCCGGCCGGCCGGCCGCTCATACTCAGAAATTTCCGTTTATTCTACGTAAGACTCCGCTCGCTTCGCTCGCTCCGTAACTATGTTTAGGGTTTTTAACGGTCATTGATTATGTTCTTCTCCCGCACATTTTATTCGGTAGGTAACGCTTTGGACGCCAGCGCACAATTAGACTACACACGTGGCTCTGGAACGGTACACGCCATGTTATTGAGCAGGGCTGCGGAGTCGGAGTCGGAGTCGGAGTCGGAGTCGGTCGGAGTCGACAGTTGTGACCGGAGTCGGAGTCGGAGTCGGAGTCGATTTTAGAAACCCGAGCCGGAGTCGGAGTCGGAGTCACCGAAAATCTGTCGACTCCGCAGCCCTGCTAGGTCTGCGGAGTCGGAGTCGGGAGTTGGAGTCGGTCGGAGTCGACAATTCTGCCCGGAGTCGGAGTCGGAGTCGGAGCTGGCTTTTGAAAGCCGGAGTCGGAGTCGGAGTCGGAGTCGCCGAAAATCCATCGACTCCGCAGCCCTGTTATTGAGAAACCACCATGCTATACAATCAGCGAGTGTGTAGGCGAGCGCAGTGGATACAGAACTCTTTAGGAACATTTCATTGAGGCACGGTGCAGTTCAGCTGTGGTGACATAGACCGTCGTACCAACCTACTTTGCGTCAGCCACGAGACTCAAATACCTAAGTGAGAATTGCAACGCACGCCCGACATGCAAATGTGTCATGAAATAGAATCAAACAAATTCTAGAACTATTATTAGCAACAAGGTCCTAAAATAAAAACAGTATTTAGTATTATTGGTATAGAACACAGTCCCCGCGCCCCGTAGGGGGGGGGGCGAAACGCCCCCCCCTGTCCTTTTCGGTCGATATCTCCTAAACGGCTGGAGATATCGCCACCAAACTTTCAGGACCCCTCCGGGCATCAATTTTACACATTGTGATCATTTTTTTTTCCAGAGGCTATGATAGGTTGGCCACAAATGACGTCAGAATGACTTCATGTTCTGTCATTTTCGACCGAAAAAAGACCTTCGCGAGAAGACCTGTCAGGCCTACAGCTTTGAAGATACAGAAAAATGATCAATACATAAAAGGTGTAGAATGAACACGGCTACAAAACTGCTATCTCGGATTTTTGAAATTTTTGAGTTATGACCCCCAAAAATCATTTTTTTTGGATAAATTAGCCAAAATTCCACAAAGTTTTTTTTGAGTTTCGAAAAAAACGGAATATATGTGATAGTACCTATCGTCTTCTATCTACATACCAAATTTCAGATTGATACCTCGTCTTTTTGGCCAAGTTATAGCGAAAAAAACTTCAAAAATGATGACGTCAAATTTTCAAACTCACTTTTTGGCAATTCTACAACTCGTAGAGCAAAACAAAGACCACCATTAGACTCCCCGTGACGAGTTGCATCGAATCGATACCCATTTTATGCAAAAATATCAACTTTAAAATTTGACCTAATTTGACCTGACCTTGACCTGACCTTCACCAAAACGTGACCTAGGCTGGCCCCAAAGGCTGCCTAACCCACATAATCGCATTTCAGCTATGTAAAATGGACCATAAAACATGTATCACACGACACTTTCATATTGTGACCCCCGTGACCTGACCTCGCTGTGACCTGACCTGGTATCAGTGATCTCAGATAGCAAAGTATGTGTTTGACGAACAATTTACCATCGATGGTTTTCAATAAATTACCAATTTACTCGATTTCACAACACATTTCTTGAAATGCCTGTGAACGGTGAAAATCTGACCTTTGACCTGACCTGTGACGTCATCGGTTTGACCTAGGTCAATGAAATTTGGTCACAAGGTAGTTCCCGGGCGGGGCTATCGAACGCCGTTTGAATTTTGAAAATCGGCCGGTAACTTTCCGAGATCTTAGGGGGGGCCGAAACGCCCCCCCCCCCCTACGGGTGGTAGGGTCCGCCGGTAGCCCTACGGGGCGCGGGTTAAGATACAACTTTTCGGAATACTTCATTTGGAAGCCAATGTATGTATGATAAGGACGCTTCTTTTTGCCGCCCACACTTATTCGTCTTTCATACCGATACAATTGCCTATATAGGGAAGATTCACGTTAGGTCACGCTGTCCACTGACCTAATCACAGATCACTGCCGGCTTCTGCACGCGTACCGTATAAAGTCAAGTCAACGATACTGGACCCACTCTGCAATTGTCTGCCTAAGAACTTCTCCGACACGGCCACAACTCCATGTCCCTACATATGACTCAAGATCGTCCATCAAAGTTAAAACGCATGACTAGGATAGCCGGCAGGTATCGGTCAGGTGTCTCTGTAGGACGGCGATCTGGCCGTCTGCCGAGGCCCGCGGCCGGTCAGGGCTCGGTGCTGTGCAGAGCCTGGTAGCCGTCCCTGGGAGCCGGGTGCCAGGCGCCCTGCTCGATGTCGGCCACCGTCTCCGGCAGCCGGCGTCCGTTGGTCTCCGGCAGCAGCAACGCCACCAGCGCCGCCGTCACGCCCGCCAGGCCGAACACGCAGCTGGGGATGGCCCAGTGCACTGGCGACAGCAGGTCCACCACGTACGGCGCCGCCATCGAGCCCACCCGGGCGCACATGCTCGACGCGCCGAAGCCGACGTTGCGCAGAGTGGTGGGGAAGAACTCGGCCGTGTAGAGAAAGATGACGGCGAACCCGGCCGACGAGGCGAACTTGCCCACCATGGCGAGCGTCAGTTTGGGCCAGGCGGTGCCCGCCGGCACGGCCATGATGCAGAGGATGGCCGCGCCGGCCAGCAGGAACGTCAGCACCATGGTCGGGCGGCGACCGACGCGGCTGATGAGCGGCACGGCCAGGAGCACGGCCGGCACCTCCACCAGGCCGGCCAGGAAGATGGCCAGGTACGGGCTACTGCTCAGGTCGGCAGAGTTGAACGTGACGCCGTAGTAGATTAGAGACACTGCTAGCCAGTTGTAGAAGCTTGCCAGACTGATGCGCCGCATCCGTGGAGTGCCCACCAGCCGACATATCTCGCCGATGCCGTTGGCGCAGCTCTGGAGCGCCGATCGCTGCGGCTCCTCGTCGTCGTCTGGGGACAGCTTCGTCTCGGCAGCGCGGAACTCCGACATCATCCTCATCATCTCGGCGTCTGAGGGCAGCGAGCGCTTGTTGCGGCGTGCAGCGGCCACCAGCACATCCAGCGCCTCCGGCAGCCTGTCCTGCATGATGAGCCAGCGCGGCGACTCGGGAAGCGCCCACCAGAAGCCGAGCATGAGCACAGAGGGGGCCGATATGACCAGCTGCAAGTAACGCCAGTCACGCACCAGATAGGCGGCCGCCGACAGCGCCATCATGCCGCATGAAAACGGGATCTGGTAGACGAGCCCGACCAAAGAGCGCCAGCGCGGCCCCATCACCTCCATCGTCAGGATGAACATGCTATTGAACACACTTGTTCCCGTGAAGGCAGTTATGAAGCGCAGCGTGACAAAGGTGGCGTAGCTGCCAGCCCCGGCCGTGGCTAGGCTGGAGATGATGAACAGAACGCTACTGTAACAGACGACGCGCCGCCTTCCGAACTGGTCTGATAGCACGCCGCTGATCATGGATCCGCAGAAGATGCCGAACATGTAGCTGGCCTGGACGGTGGACATCATCCAGCGGCGGCCGCAAACCAGGTCCCACTGGCTGACGATGGTCGAGTGGAAACGCTCCCGGCTGTACACCCAGTCGGCGTCGCAGCCCACCGTGCGGCTGCCTCCGGCCGCGTCCCAGCGCTCACAGGAGGCCGGCTGGCCGGTGGCATTGTTGTACGGCAGCCAGAGGTGCAGCTGCTCCTCGCTGGCTGTCTCGTTGGCCAGCTCTCCGGGCAGCGCGCAGCGGTGCTCCGGCTCGCCGCCGACGAAGACACTGCTGAAGTTATGCATACCGGAGAGCACGGAGCCGACCATTGACCAGACGAACACCAGGGCCTGCCAGAGTCCTGCGTCCCCGGCCCGGCTCAGGATCTCCTCGAACTGGACACCGTGCGTGGCTGCCATGGCCGGCGGCCAGAGAGGGTCTGCCCGGCGCGCTGCACCGCCCGCACTCGAGTGAGCGCCACACGTGACCGGGCCGCCGCCAGAGCCGGTGCGACGTCTCGGAGAGGGAGAGCCTGTCAGAAGAGGTTACTACCGGACTGGACCGCAAACACGAATTCCAACGAACTTTGGTGTCAATATTTCCTTTCAAATGACGTGCATCGCTGGTAGATTACTTGATGTTTCTTTGGGTCTAGCTAGCTCCCTGCTGTGGGGGAGGGGATCCTTTAGCACCACTTTTGTGGTTTCCCTCGAATGTCTATAAAAAGCAGCGTGCAACGCCGGCCTATCTGGCACAGCATATGAGACATCCTTTAGCATACCTACGTTTTGAAACAGCTGGCTAATGAAACATCAAGGTGTTGAGAACAAATACTAATAAGAGCTACTGTTTGTAACTACTCGTACTCTTGTTACAAACAAGAGTTGGTTTGTCAGGTTTTGTATTCAAAAGGCTTACATCATTTTGCGTTCTACCAAAGCTACTAGTTACTACTGCATTTTTATGCACAACGTTATGGCACTGTTGCACGTGAGCACGTGCAACGGTTAGCTTCTAGATCTCGAGAACGTGTGGGCCGATTGGTTCAAACCTGGTGCACCGTTAGAGACCGGTGAGTAGGATGCCAGGAAGACGTCATTTGGAACCTCGTTTGAATGTGCACACTGCGTGAGTGTGAATGGTGCGTACAAGCAAACTGTGTACCACTTTACATTTCCGCCCTGCAGGGCTCACGTTCGTGCTCGCTCCATGTCGCCGCCCGCCCAAAAAGGCGTTTTACTGGTACGCACATAGGTACGCACATATACGCACATACATACGCATTACGAACGGATTTTCTAATGCGCTTAGAACTGTATTCGTGTTTAATGCACATCTTCATCGCCCAGACACCCGCGGTAAATGAAGAGACACGCAGGCACCCGCGTTAAATGAAGCGTCGCGCTGATACGATGACGCGCCCCCGGAACGGGAAGAGGAGGGGTGATACGGGGGCCCTCGTCGCGGTCCAAGCAGAACTGCCCGGCGCGAGCCGGATCCGTGGTGCGCAGAAGTGTCGCTGACAGATCCGACCTCGCGTCAATTACGGCGCGGCGCGTGTGTATATGTCTCACTGCGACATTGAGGCGAAACAGTTGGACGTATCCTCTTACACCACTCTCTGAGGACTCATGTCTTTTTGATGCCACTGCAATAATGTTTTCGACGCAATGCGCTCAAGATGATAGAAATTTAAAACATTTGCACTGGATAGCCTGGCATGGCGGCCATCTGACTATAAATACAGGACAACTGAACAGGACGACCGAACAGGACAAACAAACAGGACTTAAGGACAGGATAACCGGGCAGGACGGTCGAACACCCGGACAGAACTGAAGGACAGCACACACACCCAGTCAGGTCTGGAAGGACAGCACTGAGCACACCCACCCAGTCAGGACTGGAAGGGCAGCACACCCACCCAGTCAGGACTGGAAGGACAGCACACACACACACACACACACACACACACACACACACACACACACACACACACACACACACACACACACACACACACACACACACACACACACACACACACACACACACACACACACACACACACACACACACACACACACACACACACACACACACACACACACACACCCCACACACACACACACAGTCAGGACTGGAAGGGCAGCACACCCACCCAGTCAGGACTGGAAGGCCAGCACACACACCCAGTCAGGACTGGAAGGACAGCACACACACACACACACACACACAGTCAGGACTGGAAGGCCAGCACGCACACGCACACAGTCAGGACGGGAAAGACAGCACACACACCCAGTCAGGACTGGAAGGACAGCCAGACGGGGCAGTCAGGCATGATTGAAGGACAGGATAGCCAGACTGCCGCAGATAGTTTTGGTGTCAGGAGTGCCAGGTCAGTGTGCGGGCAGTCCACTTCATGCGAAAGGTGACCGAGATGTGGCAGGGCACTGTACTAGTTTGTATTTACCTATAAACCCATTCATGCTAAGCCCGAGCCCAGGGGTCTAAGTACCTAATCCTAGCGTTTGTCAGTGGGATCCCGCGTTGTTTGTATACCTGTGTAGGTACAGCGGCGCGTCTGTGTGCTACGCGCCGGCTGACGAGCCGCGCGGCGCCGCTGTGGGCTGCTGTCGGATACGGGCCCGGAGGCCGGAAATAACACCGGAAGTGCCATCACGCGACCCCAGGTGACCTTACAGCCGGGCCGCAGCCGGGGATGATACGCGGCTGTTTTTACGGGACACGGTCCAGCAGCTCAGAATGGGTACCTCACTATTCTACAAAAAAGCTCATAGCAGTCCATTCACTGGTGTCGGTGATACCTGACGCAGGCCAAAGGCGCACACAAGGGGGGGGGCACACGGGCCCGTGCCCCCCCATTCGAGTTGGGGGGGGCCCAACTCGAAGGAAGGGGCCCATTTGAGGCGGCCGAAGGCCGCCTCAAATGGGCCTCTAACTAATCCTTAGACCACCGAAGACCGTGTACAAAGGGCCCTCAAATGGCCTTAAAGGGCCCTCAGATGGTCTCAAAAGGCCCTCAGATGGCCTCGAAGGGCCCTCAGTTAGCGTCATAGGACCCTCATCTGGTGTCAAAGGGCCCTTACATGGTGTCAGAGGGCCCTCAGATGGCCTTAAGGAGCCCTCAGATGACCTCAAAGGACTCTCAGATGGCCTTAAAGGGCCCTCAGATAGCCTCAAAGGGCCCTCAGCTGACGTTAAACGGACGTCAGAAGGCCTTAAAGGGTGTCAAAGGTCCCTGAGCTGGCGTGAGAGGGCCATGCCCTTGCGTCGAACGGCTCTCCGAAGGCTCTAAAGAGTCCTTTGCTGGTGACAGAGGGCCCCCAGCTGGTGCCAGATGGCCCCCAGCTGGCGCCAAATGGCCATCAGAAGGTCTCAAACGGTCCTCAGCTGGCGTCAAGCGGCCCTCAAAAAGCCTCAAGGGGCCCTTAGAAAACCTCAAGGGGCCCTTAGAAGACCTCAAGGGCCCTCAGAAGGCCTTAAAGAGCGTCAAAGGGCCTTGAGCTAGCGTCAGAGGGCCCCCAGCTAATGCCAGAGGGCCCTGAGCTAGCGTCAAACTTAAAGTGCCCTTAGCTGGTGTCAGAGGGCCCCAGTTGGTGTCAGAGGGTCATCCATAGGCGTCTAATGGCCATCAGAAGGCCCAAAAACACGATCCTCAGCTGGCGTCCAACGGTCCTCAGCTGACGTCAAGAGGCCCTCAAAAGGCCTCAAAGGCCCCTCGACTGCTCAAAGGGCCCTTAGAAGGCCTCAATGGGAACTCAAGAGACGTTAAACGGCCCTCAAAAGGCTTGAAAGGGCCCCCTGCTGATGGCAAAGGGCTCGCACCTGAGTCAATAAGAGCCTTGTCAAAAAAACGGACCTGAGAAACCTTGCCGGCCCTTCTGCGGGACTCCTACACTTACCTGAGTGGCCCCCGTTTACTGAGGGGCCCTGGTTATTGATGGGGTTCCTCGTTACTTAACGCCTGGTTACCAGAGGGGCCCATGGTTACCTGGTGGGCCCCTGATCAATTGAAACCCCCTGGTCATCTGAAACGCCCCTGATTACCTAAAGGGCCCCTAATCACTTGGATTCAGTGACAGCAAGGGAGCGAGGGGGTACGTGCCCGTTCTCGGGTTTAGGGTTCCTTCAAAACCGAGGGGCCCTGCGGCGCCAGTTGGTAGCAGAGGGTTCGCGCTGGCCGCACTTCAACTCGGAAGGACACCACAGGGCTTGTGGGGGCACGTTATTGGCTCCTATGTAGCCACAATTATCTTCATAAAGGCCCAATGCCGGTTTCTGAGAGACTTCGCCGGCCGCTCAGGGCCCTAGTAACGGCCAACGAGGGATTGGCTGCTATGGCTCCACATCCGTCTGTGATAGACACACGGTCCACACCAGTGTTTCTAAAGGCACCCACAACAGCAACTGCGAGGCCCCTCGCCCCACCTCCAAGGGACCCCCACCAGCGCATCTTAAGGGCCTACATCGGCGGCTCGGAGAGTCCCCACACGGACGCCTCTGAGGGCCACGTACCAGTGACTCTGAGGGCCTCTTACCAGCCTCCGAGTGTCCTTGTCAGCCTATGACGGGCCACTTTCCACTTGCAGGCCATTTTGCAGGGCCACACACATGCCAATGATGGCCCCACCAGTGTCTCTAAGCCCTAAGACCCCGCAACGGCGCCTGTGAGGACCCAACACCAGCGCATCTGACGGCCTTTCACTGGCACCTCTGAGCGCGCCACACACCAGTGACTCTGAGGAGCTCGCTCGCTTCGCTCGCTCGTAAAATACCATGTAAATTAGGCATTAGTGTACATTAGGCACACTCCTCGGGCATAAATGATACTTTTGCTTGCCGATTTTCCACATTTTCTCATGCAAAGACCGTTTTAACCCGCGAGTTGCTGGGGGGGCGTTAAACGCCCCCACTTTTTTCGCCGGGCCATAGCATAAAAACGGCGCGCCGCAGGCGCGCCAAATTTTGGGTACCTGTAGGGAATTGATTGAAGTTTATTGTGACAAAGTTTCAAAAAAATCGGTCGGAAAATTTTTGAGATATCGAGGTTTTAAAGACGTCATGATTTCTGAGTTTTCGACCAAAAACGGCATATGTTCAAAAAATCATATAAAATCACAAAATAGACATACAGACATGCCGTAAACGCCATTAGACTGCCAATACCATGATCAATCAAATGGCTATCTTCGATTATTGATTATCGTTCCGCATTTTCCAAAATCTTGAACTGAATCTTGGCAATTTTTCGTGACTACTTCACGACCATGATACATGAATTTCTTAAATTGAACTTTTTGAGTCAAACACGTACACATATGATAAAATGAATGTCACCATCGTGTTCTACGCCTCAAATTACCTATAAAACATGTGTCACAGGCTGCGAATA